CGCGTCCCCGGCCAGGACAGAGTGCCAGGGACCATGGAGTTCACGGCGTCGCCCAAGCCCCAGCTCTCCTCCCGAGCCAACGCTCGGCCCTCTTCCTCTCCGCTGGTTCGCAGCCGCAGAGGCCCAGGGCCTGCGGAGGGACAGGAGAGCCGGGCTCAGTATCCGGGAGTCGCTGGCTCCGCGGGGACTGCGCTCGGAAAGTCGGCGCTGTTTCGGCCTTAGTCCCCCTTGGGGAAGCTGGACGGCCCTTCGGCGGGCCGCGTCCCCGGCCAGGACCGCGTGCCAGGGACCATGGAGTTCACGGCGTCGCCCAAGCCCCAGCTCTCCTCCCGAGCCAACGCCTTCTCCATCGCTGCGCTCATGTCCAGCGGCTCCAAGGGCAAGGACCCCACGGAGAACACCATCAAGCCCCTGGGTAAGTCCGCGCCCGGCCGGCTGGGGCAGGGCGAGGGCACCGCGCAGCCCCTGGCGCGCTCCTGGGCCCGTTCCAGGCGGCCTCCCTGCCCCGGCCAGGCGTCACGCGTCGCGGGGGGAGATGAGATGTTTCTTTGGGGCCCCTTCCTCTGAGGGCCGCAGTCTGTGGGGTGATGGGCCCGTCGCCCTGCCTGCAAATGCCCGCGTCAGTCGGGCACGGGGCGTGTGGGAGTGTGCCCAAGTTCCCGAGCCGTGACACTCCCTGTGGGGCAGGGTCTGTGCAACACCTCTCCTGCCCTTGACCCAGCAGACCCTGGCGACTCCCCAAAAGCGGTTTGAGCTGGCTTTTCCTGCGGCTGGGACGGGGCGAACCCCAAGTTCCCGAGCCGTGACACTCCCTGTGGGGCAGGGTCTGTGCAACACCTCTCCTGCCCTTGACCCAGCAGACCCTGGCGACTCCCCAAAAGCGGTTTGAGCTGGCTTTCCCTGCGGCTGGGACGGGGCGAACGGGGGCCCCTTCAAGCCACCTTAGCGCTGTAAGACAAGCCAGTCCCGGGTGACCAGGCCTTCAGGGAAACGCCAGGCCTGTCAGAGGACGTCATTTTACCCCGTCGTCTTTTGCAGTGGAAGCTGTCGAAAGCAAGAAGCAATACTGGGTTCTCACTCTCCGCCACTTTCAGTTACCCTCCTCCTTCCCAGCCTGACCATTTACAGAAGGCGGAGCTGAGTCCGGCTGTGCCTAGAATCCAGTGGGAAGGGGCTACGGGTTCAAAGCTCCTGCCTGGAGGGAGAAAAACGTTGTCCCAGCCCCTGGGGTTCCCAGGGCGTGGAGATTCCACATCCTGACCACATGCCACCCTCCAGCAGTGAGGACAGCAAGTAGAAGTCGCATCCAGTGACAGTCACCCAGAGAGGAAGGGGTGGGGAGAGGCCCAGCAAGGAGGAGGGGTGGAGGATCTCCGTGAGCTCTGGGAGCCAGGGAGAGGACACCCCACTACCGACAATAGACGAAACGCGGCAGCCTCTGAGGGTTCCCCCCTTCCCTGCTCTTCCCGTCCACCCGGCTGGAGCGAAACCTGCCTGCGGAGAAGGGGAAGCAGGACAGACGGACGAGACAGCCCGCTCCGCTCCTGCCGCCAGCGGGGCAGCTGTCCCGGCCCCTGCGGGGGCTCTGGGGCAGGGCCTGTTCTTTACCCTCCTCCGGCTCCACTGCCAACCCCCTGGAAAGGAAAAGAAGGATTTCTGGTTCGAGTTCCTGACAGGAATGCGCCAGGCCCAGCCTCACTGCCGTTTCCGTTACTCCTCCATTTTCCTGAGAAAATCCAGCATGTATCTAAACCCGGGTGCGGAGCCATTCCCGGCCCTCCGTGCGGTGTGTAAAATGAGCTGCTTCTGCTCCCAGAAGGGCTCTGAACCTCGGCTGGGTTCTTGTCCCTGGACCGGCCAGGGCCACAGGGCAGTCAGTGCCTGCAAGCTGGGGACTCACAGGAGAGACCAGAAGGTTCTGTGCGGGAAGGCGCTGCCTCTGAGGACAAGCTAGAGAGATGTCCCCTGTCGCCTACTCGCCCTGGAGCCCACACTGCCCCGGCCCTCCTCCTGCACGGCGGCCAGTGCTCTGTCCAGCCCGGGCTCAGGGAGCTCACTACTTTCCTTGTCAGAGACGGACACTTTAAGAGGACTTGCCAGTTCCCTATAAGACATCATGTGAATGGGTTTCGGAAAATAATTAGTATTTTGTCCGGAACTGACTCCCTGTCTTTAAATATGAAAAAACAAGGTGACAGTTTGGTTATTCTGAATTTAATACATTTCCATAAACTGGACTATTTTATGAAGAGAAACGGTAAGCATTCTTTATTTCATGTTTGCCTGCCCTGGGTCAAGGCGGCGTGGGAACTAACAACACGTATGATGCACCCGCGTCACGCGTGCCCACACACCTCTACACGTGTGCGCGTACGTGTAGGCTTGTTTGGGTTCCGTGAGAGCACCTGCCACAGAGTTGCCTGGAAACCAGCTCCCCGTTTCGGATCAAGTCGCTTCTTTTTTAAGGGAGGGCGGATAATTACCAGAGTCCCCTGTATTCCGTCACCCACTGGCATAGCCACGGCCTCCTCAGTCAGTGTGATTCCTGGTCCCAGGCAGTGTTCCCACCTGCTGCTGGAGGGTCCCATTCCATTCTCCCACTTTACCCCCTGCTGGACGAGGGCTGAGGTCGCTTCCTCACTTCCAGGACCTTTTTGGAGGAAAAAAATAATATATACAAGAGGGCTTCAAAAAGTCTATGAAAAAGCGAGTATTATGAAAAACTGCATGGATCTCAAACTTGGTCTGAATGACCTTTCACTTATATTACATTTCCCTGTGAACTTTGTGAAGTCCTGTTTTGTATTATTCAAGTAATTACTGCAAGCCTGTTACAGACGAGGGAAAGCAAAAGGAGCCGGAAAGACAAGGGAAGAAAAAAGAAGGGAAGGGGAGGGAAGGGAAGGGAAGAAAAAAAGAGAAAGAAAAGAAGAGAAGAAGAGAAGAGAAGAGAAGAGAAGAGAAGAGAAGAGAAGAGAAGAGAAGAGAAGAGAAGAGAAGAGAGGAGAGGAGAGGAGAAGAGAAGAGGAAGAGAGGAGAGAAAAGGCTCGAGCCTGCGTGTAGGATTTAGCAAGCTGCTAGCACCTTTTTACGGTCTCAGGCTGGGAGAGAGATTGTAAAATGCTCTCATATCACCCCCGTGGTAGAGCCTGGAAAGCAGAATCAGGCATGGGAGTTTTTTAAAAGCCACCTGGCCGCTTTCCTCCCACCCTTTCCTTTTCTCTTAGGAGGGCTCCGGGAGGGAAGGGGCACTCCTAGCAAAGGGAGGACGGGCTGACCTCCCCTCCGTCTCTGGAGCGAAGTCGTCCTGGTTGTCCCAGAGGCAGGGCTGACACCAGTCCACCAGGGTGAAGTCGGGTCTGGGAGGGGTGGGGTGGAACAGTGGGTTTTCGGCCTCGCCTTCACCTTCCATTCTCCCCTTCTGCTCACCCCCCAAAGCCCGGGTCCTAAGGCAGGTACCAAGCCTGGGCAGTAGAGGGTCCCGGTTGGCGGAAATCCCAGGTCTTTGTTAGGCAGGACGTGGTCCCTAGCGCCTGTCCCAAGCTGTGGCAGTCAGACCCAGGGGCCCACCTACGCCGAGCGGCTCCCCGCTCCGTAAGGCCAGGGCCGACTCTCACGCCCCATCCTTTGCCTCCAGAGCAATTCGTGGAGAAGTCGTCCTGCGCGCAGCCGCTGGGCGAGCTGAGCAGCCTGGACGCCCGCGGGGAGCTGGGCGGCGGCCCGGCCTCCTCCTCCCCTTCGTCCCTGTGCACGGAGCCGCTGATCCCCACCACCCCCATCATCCCCAGCGAGGAAATGGCCAAGATCGCCTGCAGCCTGGAGACCAAGGAGCTCTGGGACAAGTTCCACGAGCTGGGCACAGAGATGATCATCACCAAGTCGGGCAGGTAGCTGCGGGCGGAGGGCGCTGCGAGAGCGGAGTCGGAGCGGCGAGCGCAGCTGCCTTCCCAGGACCCGCGTTCAGGGCGGGGTCTGCCTCTAGGAAGCACTCCGGTCTGTGAGCGGGCCTGGGGGCGCAGGCTCCAGAGGGCGGCGTCCCACTCCCTGCAGCCGGGAGTTTGGGGTACCCGGCTTAGACCTGGTGGGGACTCGGACCCGGAGCACAGCGCGGGCTGCGGGGCGCCGCGGCAGGGGGAGCCGCCCTGGTGGTAACCGGCTCCCCT